CTGGTGTTTGGGCTGGTGTCCAAGGAGAAGTAGAGGTTACTTTGCTCCTGAAGACAGGAAGGCTAGGGCAGGGTGACATTCCCAGCAAAGGCAGCTGCATAAGCAAAGACATTGAGGCCTTGGTTGGTGTGTGTGGTGCCCTTTGCAAAGACTTATGTCCTTGTCCAAGTGTGGGAAGGAGCTGACAGGAAACAGGATTGAAGAAATAGATTAAAGGATGACTGAGAAGGCCTTGTGTGACCTGCTTAAGTGTTTAAACTTTATTCTCCAGGAGGGAGTTGAGGGAAAGGAAGTAAGAGCTGGGAAGCAGCCCCAGGGACAGCTAGGAGCTGAAGCGCTTGATCTTGTTCTGTGGAGGTGGAATCTGAGCTGGAGAGATCTATTCTTTACATGATTGTTATGATCTGGCAAGAGAGGATGGGGTCCTGAACTCACCAGAAGCATCAGGAAAGGGGGAGGAATTTGCTAGACGCCTCTCAGGAACCATGCAAAGGATTCAAAACTAATTAAATGTCCGGCAAGGAAGAGGGAGAGGCTCGGGCTGTTTGCCAAGTTGCCAGTGTGTGTGATTGAAGGGTTCATTATTCCACTTTCTGGGCCTGGTAACGCAGTGGGGCGCATTCAGACTTCAAGAAGTATAGATCTGAGTTCAGTTTTAGATATTCTGAGACTAAGAGTGGCCATCGCTGTCCAGTGAACTCTGTGTTATGTCCACATGGTAGACTTTCACATATCTGATTTAGGAATAGTCTAGACTCATGTTGAGAATGATTAAGAGAAGCCCTTAGGTCAAAAGTGGCTTGTGATCATAGTAGGTAATGTATTGGGGTCCTTTTCCATCCTGAGAATTTTCTATGAAGAATTTATTTTTTATGACCATTTATAAATTTCTTGTTGAATTTTTGTGTACTTCATAAAGAAAATCATCTTTATACTTCCTTCCCCTTTGGCACCATTCCATACCACCTCACCCCCACTGGAGTTCATATATTCTGTCATTTGTGTTAAGTCCTATCATGTAAAGTTAGTGTCCCCAGATGTCTTTTAATGCAGGTTCATCTACTAGGATCTAGTCAGCCTATCTAGAGTCCCTCCCTTTAAGAAGACCAGTTCTTCCTCACCCAGCAGTAATCAGCTGCCAATAATTCTTTGTCTAAGATTGAGTCCTGCTCTTTCCAGAGTTCTGTGCTGGGTTTTGTCTGCCCAAGTTTGCATGCTTGGGTCTTGTGCTTGCTGACACCATTGCTGTAGGTTTGTATGAGAAGAGTCCCGGGTGCTTGTAGGACTATTTCCATATGGCCATGCAACTCCTCCCTGACCTATTTAAAGAGAAAAAACAGACTAAGAGTAAAGATTAAATGACATACCCAAATTCATCAGGCTGAAAAGGTACAGAACTGGGATTCTTAGATGGAGTTCAAAGTTTAATGGTTTCCCATTGCTGCTGTGGTCAACACCTTACACTTTCAGGTGACTCCTGAGGCTGTTACCTGACCTCTGCCTGTTTGTGCATTCTCACCAGGAACATATCACACTGCTTTCTACTCTGGGACCTTTGCCCTTTTTTCTGACTGGAATGTTCTTTTTAACCTCTCTTTTCCTAATTAACTTGACATTACTCTTCAGATCTCAGATGTCTTAGAGAAGTTCCTTTGACCCTGTGGATTAGGGCAGGCCTTCCAAAAGGAGTTGTTAAAGTAATTTGTGCTCTTTTTTCCCAGCACTTAGTACGGTTTGCAGTTACATATTTATATCTCTGTTGAGTTTATAAGTGTGTGTCCTCATCCCTTAGTTATTGGCATCGTGGAGATAATGTCAGTTTCTTCTTGCTAGTGTTTCTAGCACATAACATAATACCTGGCCAAGATCAATACATATTTTTTTCCAATGGAATAATGACTTCAAAATCAAGGCTTTATTCATTCTACCATTAAAGAAATGTCTTAAAATATATAATTCAGGAGAATTTATTTTTTGCTGTAAGTGAAAGAACTGTATATAGTGACAACCACTATGAACAGATTATTCACAATGAAGATTCAGAGTTGTAATGTTGAAAATTGACTTTAAGAAACTCAAGGATGAGTTGGATGGGGTTGGGGGGTGGATATATTCAAAATACATGTATTCATGTATGAAATTCTCAAAAATAAATAGATGAGTTAATAAATAAATTGAAAAAAATAATGGAGGAAACTAATATCAGTTATTACTTGGAAGAATAATAAAAGATAGTTATTTATAATTACAAAATAATTCAAAATAATAAAATATTCTTTTTCTGTGGCACTTACAAGATAAAGACCCACATGTAGCCAAATAGAGGCAGGATGAGAGGTATAGAGTAAGTATTTGAAAACAAGTGAATGATGGTGGGTTCATTCATTGATTTCCCAGCAGAGAGTGTTCTTCTTGGCCAGGAGGATGTGGAGTTCCCTTGGAGCCTCTATCTAAAAAGCCTATTTCATGGCCAATGTCTGAGTCTGCACAAACTTAGCCTCATTGTAGATATCCATCCTGTTGGCATTAAGGCTAAATCAGTGAAGTAACAGATTTTCATCAAGATACTAGAAATGTTAAAAATTAGGTGAAGTGGAATTTCTTATACTTTATACTGTGTTTAAGAAATAAAAGAAACATTAATGTCCCCAGATGTCCCTCAGTGCAAGTTCATCCATTGAGGTCTTGTTAGCCTATCTAGAGTCTGTCCCTTTAAGAATCATTAAAAAAAATCAGTTAAAATGGGAAAACCTTCTGATCTTAGGAGTCACTTTGCACTTTTTAGAAAAGCTTCCCAGGAAGAATCATTCCTAACATATTTTAGAGAGTTGTTTTCTTAAACTTTCTAGTTAAAAAAATTAAAACATGTATCAGATTGAAAAGACATTATAATTAACCCCCATTTACTCATTCCTCAGTGTCAACTGTTATCGGTGCCCCCTGCTCATTCCTCAACTAGCCCCTCCCTAAGGTCTTCGCTATTATACCTTATCTCACTTGTTATATTCCATATGCAACCCCAAGTATGTCCTAGAAGACAAGAAATCTTTAAAAATGAACCGAATCTGTACTCATACCTAAAATAATAGTTAGTTTCTTAGTATTTTCAGACGTCTAATCAATGTTAAAATTTCTCCAGTTGTCTCAAAATGTTTCTTTGTAGTCGATTTGTTTGAATTGGGTTCCAAAGTAGGTCAACATATTCTACTCACTGGGCAATCTCTTAAATTCCTTTTAATCTTTAACAGGATTTCTCTCCTTTGTTTTGTTTATTTTTCAATGTCCCTTTTCTTTTTAAAAAATTTATTTATTATTTTTTATTTTATGTGCATGAGTGTTTTGCCTGCATGTGTGTAAATGGATCTGTGTAGTGCAATGCCCGTGTAAGTCAGAAGAGAGTGTCAGATCCCCTGGAACCAGAGTTATGGATAATTGTTAGCCACCATGTGGGTGCAGGGAATTGAACCCAAGTCCTCTGCAGTAACAGCAAATGTTCTTCACCATGAGCCGTCTCTCCAGCTGCCCCCCACCCCATTTTCTTTTCTTTTTTTAAATTTTATGTGTATGAGTGTCTTGCCTGCAGGTGTGTATAAATGCACAATGTGCATGCAGTGCCAATGGAGGCCAGAAGAGGATGTCTGATCCACTGGAACTGAAGTTACAGTTGGTTGTTATCTGCCATGTGACTGTTGGGAACCTAACCCAGGTCCTCTGCAAGAGCAGTCAGTGCTCTTAACTGCTGTGCCATCTCTCCAGTTCCTCAATGTCCAGTTTTTAAATTGAAGAAAAAAGTTTGTTTTGTGAAATAATCTCATATTCTTGATTTTATTTATTGTATTGCCGAGGTAGTATTTAAATCTATACCTTGTATTTCCTTCTCATAATTGATAGAGTTGAGGGCTTAATTAGGTTTAAGTTTGACTTTTTGGTAAAACACTTCATATGTATTTCTGGGATCACAGATTGCTTCAAATTGGGAGACATACAGCATCTGATTATCTCTTTTATTGAACTAAGATTGGTCGGTTGGGTGTGGTGTCTATATCTGATCTCTCCATTCTACCTATCTCCCTCAGCCTTTCAGGCTGCAGGATCCTCAGCCCTGCCAGCACATTGGAATATCTGGGAAGCTGTTTCAATTAAGATGCTCAGCCCCAACCCCGAGAATTGATCCATTGTGAGCTCAGGAAGTTTGAGTCCTAGGTGGTTCTAATGTACAGACAAGGTCGAGGACCTCCAAGCTGCTATGCTTGGCTGGCATTGAGGAACTGTTTGTATAGACCTGTTGTTCAGGAGAGGTTCTTAAATGGAGGTACTGCAGTATAAAGACTGTGCAAGACTGTGCGTAGTATTAGAAACCCTTCTGTTAAAACATCCTCCCAGTCTTTGGTTCTGCTTTTAATGTGTATAGAGAAAGTAGAAATAGCATAAATAGTAGATTTATCTTTATTGGTTTCTGAGTAATGATGAGTGTCCTTCATGCTATAATGATTAACAGTGTTTTTGAGCCTATTGATGTCTCAAACTATCACCTTATTACTATCACTTCAATGTTCATGTTGTTTGGATCTCAGCCGATAGAAGCATTTCTTAGCTCTGGTGACTTTTCTCACAATATTTAATTGCTTAAAAGTAAAATTTAATTGATTCAATGTACTTAAAAAAATAAGGATGGTGTATTTTAGGTTCAACTTATACATTTGATAATTGAGTTGTGTTTTAGTTTCTACAACATAGGAAATTTTTGCACTGAACTTGAAATCACCCATTTAAGAGTTTACTTATTTGTATCCTATTTTCTGACATATTTAATGGTGATGTATGATACTAAATTGGCTGGCAGATATTTGCAGTAACAGTAAAATTCGATAGGTAGCCCACAGTAATTAGAAAAATATATAAAACTTATGTTACAAACATTCTTCATGTAAGGTTGTTAAACCTTCAGTTAATATTGCATAAATCTCTGCTCACCAGTTTGTGTTTTTCTTTCTTTTTAGTTAATGTCCATCAGTGTCTTGGCAGTTTCTGCTTGGATGAGGGACTACCTGAATAATGTTCTGACTTTAACTGCAGAAACAAGGTAGGCTTTATAACTGCCTATTAAATTATTTCATCTAATCTCCTCAGATCCTGCTTTTTGACTACCTTTGCTGTGAACTGTTTATTTATTAGGTGGTGCATCTCGACCATCTTGTTAACAGTTTTTCTTGCACCTAGCAACCTAGTTGATGGCATTTGCAATTTTTAGCATTCTTGCATTCTCGTTTAGAAATGCCACTGGTCCTTGAGGACATCAGGTGGCAGTCTGTTTATGTGAACATTTCCGGGCTTAGTGATATACCAGTCCTCTCCTCTCCTAACTGTGTGTCAGCCATGTTTTATTTATGTGTAAAGAAAGCTTACCTATTTTTCCCTAAGAAAACCATTTTTTCCCTTATATTCCTGGGCTTATTGATGTTAAATCTCATAAGGCCATTATTTCCTCAAGTTTCAAGCATTAATCACAAGAGACAAGTGACTTTTCCTCATCTCTGAGTGGAGACTAATATACCTCACCACTCTGCATTGTGGTGAGGACTGAGTGAGAGACACTTTTTTGAAAAGTCCTTAATAGTGTGGAGCTTATAAGTACTGAATAACAGTTAAGTTTTGTTATCATTACTATTATAGGCTCTGGCTAATGACTTCTTAGTAATGTCCTACCAAAAAGCTAGAACCTACCAAGAAGATTCCTCTTTATCTTCTTTTTGTGACTACACAGCAAATTCCCTCTGTATAGCAGTCTCCCACATGTTGGAAGAAGATCAGTTGTCAGAGAGAGGAAAAGTGTGATTCCAAGATCAGAGATGAAGACTGCAATTTCTCCCAGCTGGGATTATCCCAATACCTCATGTGATTTGCTTAGGTTGAGGATTCAGAGCTTATATTTAAAATGAGTTGGACAGAAATGCTACCACTTGCATAGAAACTCCATGAAGCAACAATAAAGTCAGCAAGCAAATAGACACACAGCACAGTGACTTTGAAAACAGAAGCTGATGTTTTGGAGAGTCACAGCTCGGTGGCATTTGCACATTGTCTTGGCAGCATTTGGATCATTTTGATCACATTTTATTTATCACATGATGTGATCTTCCTCTTTCAGGGTAGAGGAGGCCGTCATCTTGACCTACTTCCCTGTGGTTCATCCTGTCATGATTGCTGTTTGCTGTTTCCTGATCATCGTGGGAATGTTGGGATACTGTGGAACAGTGAAAAGAAATCTGTTACTTCTTGCATGGGTACAGTGTTTATATCTCTCCTTATTACACTTAAAATACTGGTAATGCATTGTTATGAGTCTGTAACTGTAACACTTCTTAGAGGTTGTAGTTGTTGAACACCTTGTGAGAGATGATGCACCTTTTCATGAGAGATGGTATTGATGCAAATATTTGCTGTATTCAAATGATGAGATGGGGGATAGGCATGCTAGTTAATTATTTCACTCTAGCTCTATGTTGACATTTTCACTTGAAAATAATTGTTTTACTGGCATAGACCATCTTCCCTTCATTACCAGAAATGAGATGTCATGGAACGCTTTCTCTTTTCCTCTTTTTTTTTAAACAACCCACCCAGCTACTCCATTTGGAAATTAAGGTACTGAAGTGGCAGGTATATTGTAATCCCCATGCTGACTTATATAGGCCAGTGGACACAAAGGAGACTCATTTCTATAATATTAGTTACTGCTTGCTTTTTTTCACTCTGAAAGAGTTGGAATAAATTACTTCCTAAATTGATTTTATTTCTATAGCTTCTGTAATGAGTCTTTTAAATAGAAACATAATGTTTTTTAACCATTAAAAATTAGAAGAAATTAAAATAGTTTATATAGAGATTTCTTGAAGAATACGGATGGCTCCATACTAGTGCCACCAGGCGGTGAAGCTGTTAATATGTAACTTGCAGACATGTGAGACTCTATTGAGTGTATTTCTATCTTTGTTATCTGTCTCAATTCTGACCATCTTAATCTCATGTAGAGAACTTAAAAAACGAGTAGTTTGCTGGTAAGCTAGATCCCTGGGCAGAATAAAAGACCCAATTTATAGCATTTTGAGGGTTTCCATAGGGCAAACGCTCGCAGCATGGCTGATTTCAAGTTACCAACATGACATCACTGAATGTGGAGCTGGGGAGAAATGAGTACAAATTGGCTCTCTGTAGCCAGCTTGCTCACACCTGGGCTTGCCAGGACTCCATCTATGCCAATTAAAACAGAGTCCTAGCGTGAAGCAGAACTAAGCTTTGAATTTCAGAGGAACTACCTTGGCTAACGTGTCCTTTGGCTTCTTGGAGGATAACTTCTAGGTTGCAGATGAAATAATAGGGAATAGTGGAGAGAGTAAGCCATATTCAGAGTATGGGGCACATGCCCAGTCCCTTCTTTCTCTGCATATGGGTATATGGAGAAAAGGAGGGTCGTCGAAGGAAGGGTTGGGCAACCTTAGGATACATATGAAATACTTGGGTAAGTGTAAAAATTCATGAGAAGGACTTTATATACATCTCCTATTATTTGAATGATTTCAAATGTAAGACAATTTCAGCATCTTCCTTAAAAACCACAATGCTACAATGATCTCTCAAGGCCGGTTTCTTTTATAATCAGTTTAAATGTGATTGCTCTTTCCCTGCTTCCTTCCAACTTTTACTCTGGATGCTCCCTGGGCAGCAATATAAGGTAAGATGGGGTCAGGTACTTGATGGAACCACAAAGACTTTTGGGAACACATTTTAAAAATCATTTATGCATTCAATGCTGGAAAAGCTGACCAAGTAATTTGGTTTGCCAGTTGAGGTAGGGAAAAATCACAGATTTGTGAATAAGTGTCTATTTTGTGACATGGGAAAAAGCCTTGTGATGCACAGTGACACAGAAGACTGAGGTTCTATTGACTATTAGCTCATTCATTCATTCATTCATTCATTCATCTGTTCATCCTCCAAATACTTAATGCTCTCATATAAGGATCAAGTTTTTACTATCAGAACAGTGTGTGATATAGTTTCACTACTCTGACATGACCCCTCTTTGCTTTGCCCCAGCACTCTGGAGCCAGAGAGGAACAACTCCAGCTCAGCCCTAAGGGGTCAATGCAGGCCTAAAAGTAGGGTGGGGGTGTTGAATATATATCCTTATTGCCTTTTTTTACATCCGCTTCTCCCTTTTTTGTGTGTTGAGTATTCTGTTTTCCACATGGCAACTTTTGACAGCTGCTGTTCGCCAAGTCCATGGGAGTCATCTTGGGTGCTTTTTTCTGTCGGCTGTCTTTAGTGGTCTGGTCTCCATTCTCATTACAGCTTCTCTGCTCATAGCAAGATTCTAGACTTTGCTCTGTCTGTACCCAATTACAACTTCCCCATAGCTACAAAGTAAAAGGTGCTCTCACCTCCCACTGGGCCACCATTCACAGCTAATATGCATCTGCTGTTTTTCAAGCTGTTTTTCCCCCCAGACCTTCCACCCCAGCAAAGTCCTGTCCCCATCCTATGGCTAATTCCTGTGGGTCCTGGTGCTACACTCCCAAGAACTTCTCTCCCATTTCTTTTCTTATTTTGATTGCTCGAGAACCAGCTCACAGGGTACAGAGCACCCTAACTGACCTTTCTTCCTCTTCAGTTTCCTGCTCCAACCTAGTGATGTCAAGTTAATCAAATAGAGCTATGATCGTTATTCTTGTTATGTTCCAAGACTTTGATGATTAGGAAGCTTTAGATGGTAGTGAGGTATCTGGACCTCGAACCAAACCCTTCTACAACCCAGCTTCAGCTTTCTCACCCATTTCATCATTCTCTGGTCAAGGTGTATTTTTTGATCTCTGAACAAATTCTTCTTTATCTTTTAATTCGCTGCTCTTACTTTTGCTGTCCCTGTAATTAAGAATTTCTTCTTAATTCTTTTGATTTTGATATTACCTGGCCATCAAGACTTATCTGAACTGCAACCTCTTGAAATGATAATGACATTGGTGATGATGATTACTGTAGTAGATATTTTTAAGGGGCTTCCCGTCATGGCAGACACTGTAGACATTTACCTGATTGTTTTTACACAAAAATCCTTGCATGAATTAACTTTCTTCTTTCCACAACTCTAATGAGATAGGTGTTATTGTTGTGAGATATAGACGAGGAATTGAGACACAAGATGGTAAGGGACTTCCTTGAGTCACCCAGTAAGCAGATCTGCTGCCCAGACCATATCACCCCAGTTTGGACAGCATGTATTTTACTACTTTACTCTAGAAATGCTGACTTTTCCTAAGTTCTTACCAAACATGGCTTGTAACATATAAAACATTTTAGATATGATTGTTGACTTCAAACCTGACAACAATCACCTGAGACAAATCTTAAACAAAGCTCAGAGAGCTTAGTAACACAGGCCTAAGGTCATGGAGGGATAAGGGCTGTAGACCTTAGTGATTCTGATTTCTAAGGCCAGTTGTATTACTGATATTTGCAATACAATCTTCTCCAACTTGAAAGTCCAATGACTTTATTATACATCTCTTATCATATGCACACAAACATACACACACACGCAGACACACACACACCAAAGTACCATGTTTGAGTAACCATTCACCTGTCCCATTGTTTTTTGTAAATTTATTTTTATTTTTTATGTGAATGAGTGTTTTGCCTGCATGTGTAAAAGTGTACCCATGTGTGCAATCCCTGTGGAGGCCTGAAGAGGGTGTTGAATCCCCAGGAACTGAAGTTATGAATGGTTGTTAGCTGCCACGTGGGTGCTGAGACTCAAACCCTGATCCTTTGCAAGAGCAGTCGGTACTCTCAGCTGCTGAGCCATCTCTCCAGAGTCCTTTCACATTGTTTTAATGAGTGTTTATTAAGTTCAATAATGGGCTGCAAATAAGAATGAGGAGGGTGAAAATGACCAACACATTAGACTGAGGATGGGGCCTGGGGGACAGTGAAGGCAGATGGGGGAGCTTGGCTGTGAGGAAGGTTTAGGTAACAGGGGAGTGGCTTGGTTAATGGGTCAAGTTAGTGCAGAACATGACACTATGTTAGGTCTGGCAAATATTTGCAGGGCAACTCTCATGGTTCTTTCTTTGATGCCCTTTAACTTTTTATCCTAATTGATAAAAGAATGTTCATTACTTTTATTTAGGGTATAAATATTTAAAAATGCAGAATGGGCTTCTCCAATTTGTCCATTTCCTTGTATTCAGACATTTCTATTTTAAGACTTACAAAACAGATTAGTGTAAAAAAGCTGTTTTCCAAACAGTGGCATATCTGAAAGCCACTGTATCTCTTGAATGATTGTGAAACCAGGGCTTGTACTGGGTTGCCACACTCAAACAAAGTAAAAGCTTCAGTATCGAAAAAGTCAGAGGAACTCTTTCCAGAGAGATCTTTATAACCAACTCACCCCATCATGCTTCAACTCTCAAAGAAAGACACCAAACAAAACTAAAACAAAACTTCTGTAAGAAAATAGGATACCTATTAAAGTCATTTTGTGATGAATGATCATGAAGCTGACCTTTCTGTTGAATTATTGGTTTACAGATATAAAGGTTTAATACACCCGAATTAAAGGTTCCCAAACAAGACATAGAGTGTCCAATTAAACTCATGATAAACAATTTATAATGATTTTATATGGGTCTGTCCTGTGCAATATTTAGGATATACACCTAACAAAATTTGTTGTTTGTGTGAAATTTTAATTTAAATGAACATCTGAGTATTCTGTATTTCTGTTGAATCTGGCCACCCTACTCTAATTAGATTTTTTTTTTCTTTTTGTAATATTTTACTTATTATTTTTATTTTATATGTATGAGTGTTTTGCCTGCATGTATTTAAGTGCACCATGTACATGCAGTGTTCTCCAGGTCAGAAGGAGGTGTCAGATCCCCTGGAACTGGAGTCAGTGACGGTTGTTAGTCATCGTGTGGGTGCTGGGAATCAAACCCTGGTCCTCTGGAAGAGTATCCATTGCTCTTAACTGCTGAGAAATCTCTCCAGCCCCCTCTTTTTTTTTTTAAAAAAAAAAAAACAGTCCTGGAAATAAAAACCTTGCCTTGTGCATACTAGCTATGCATGCTACAAACCCGGCCTTAGATTTGTTTTTAGAAAGTATGAAGCTGCCATATATATTTTTATAGATGGATTGAGTAATTAAATTCTAATTACAATGAGAATATTTTCATTTTCTCATAGGTCAGAAATAATTGGGAAAAGTAACTTGGGCATG